ATGTGTGTGTAACCCAAAGAGAATGTAATCACTACGTTTACTGGTGTAACCTGTCAAACACGTGCGTTCCGATTCCTCTAGAAATAATTTACATGGCAAAACAACGTTTGCCGAGTCAGCTAGTTATAAATGAATATAGTAAATTTCCGCTTAATAAAAAGTTTTAATTCTTACAATAGGTAGATGTAATGGTCCAATTAAGGTCAGAAATAAGTTTACTGTAGTAGAAAAATAGCTTATTAATAAATTCTATATTTATTCTATATTTTTAAGGCGCATGGTAATGAGAAATCGATTCGTTTAATATTAAGTAATAGTTCTTTCCTTACCTGAATTAGAAGCCCTACCCATTCAACTATCAACTAGTTGTTAAATGCAGCTATACGCTTCCTAGCGGAAATCCGCTATGAAAAGTATGCCTAACAAAGACAATTTGCATAATAATCTTACAAACTAATTAACTTCGAAACTCCTTCCGTTTCGTGACGACTTCGCGGTTGCTACACGATGTCACGGTACGAATATATAATTTCTAGTATATTTTTACCAAACACTTCCCTTGTTCAGCCGTGCTCAAATATTGATTAGGTTGTCAGTAAAACAACTGCAAGCAATTAACTGAGTAATAAAAAGTCAAACTTTAAATAGCAAAAATTTAACTTTTTAATTCAGTTCAACTTTTTATTTATATATAGGTGGAATATTTTCAAAAGCATTAGCGTTACAAAGTAAACATCGTGTACTCCTTCGCATCAATTCACACCTGGATCGCTTTGTCGGAAGCGGTGAGGTCATTAAATGTTATAAGTCGTGATAACGAAATTCACTTTTGACATTATATGGATATGATGACTCCGTGGTGCAGTCGCCAAGATATCTGCTTCGGCGTCGGGGGTCGTGGGTTCGATTCCCACACGAGACAACTATTTGTGTGCCCCACAGATAGTTGTTCCCCATCTGGGTGTTTGTCCGCGTGAAATTTATGTTTGTAGTAACGTCCGTACAACACGGGATAATGTTATCCCAAAAAGGAGAAAAAGAGAAAAAAAAGGGATCTAAATAAGTTTTCCACATTTAACGCTTAACGCGTAAAGCTAAATTCCACGATAGGCGAATCTAATGAAGTTTATCAAAAGCCTCCTCAAGTGCACTCCATTGCTCACATTTGGTGTGATATCACTTGAACCTTTTTTAAGCATTAGTGTAGCCAGATAAGTTCAATATCAGTATTGATCGCGTGTGAGTTGATGGCTTAGATTCGAAAATGGTGCGTCATAGCTGACGTAATCGTAATCTGGGCTGAATCGATATTGAGCATACCTACTTGTATAATATTTAGATACTCATATCATATCAAATATTAACTATCACATTTTCAATAGTTATTATTTCTTTTGTATTGAGACCAAATATAAAACAAGTCAGATCTATTTATTACCAAATGATAATTTAATGTGATTGAAACATTTAATCGCGTTTACATTTACGGCGTTTGTTTCTCCAGGTTATATATTATTGAATAATAATATACCTACTCGAAAAAATCAAATTAATAGTACCCAATTCAATAAAACCAAAGCGCGCTTACAAAAACTTAACATGAAAACATACAGAATCATTAAGAAATAAAGAACTTGTATCTTGTATTAACTGATGTTTTTGCTTTCAGTCCCGAGACTATTAAAGCTTCATCTGACGCAGAACCGGTGGGCTAGCCAGAACCCACGGGTTTGGGCCCTCCGCTGTGGGTAGGGCCACGCATGTGCTCATGCGTGCGTTTAACTATGGTACGTCATCTAAGGGCCATCGAGGTCGTGGTTCGGACCGAAACCCCGATGGCCATCGACTGTGCAATTAGCTAATCGGTGGCTGGGGGCGGTGAGAACCGCCCCGGAACGCGGGTGAAGCTTGTGTACGCGTTGTGTTGGTCTCGCCGTGCTCGGAGGCGAGGGCGAACTAGTGTGTTTGTTGTTGCACTAACTGTGGGTGTAGTGTTGTCCGGCGGGACCCCCGGCAGTGGGAACGGCGTGTCTAAGTCCCCTTCCTCGACCGGGTCGATTAGGACGTTTCGCGGGCGATGCTTGTTGACGTTCACGTTTTGGTCGGTTTGGTAATTTGCTGCGCTTACCACCAGAGGGTTGGGATGATGTTCGGTTCTATCGAAGAACCGTTTGGTCAGGTCTTTAAAATATTCGCGAATCGTCGGGAGTCTGCAATCGCTGTGCAGGTCGACGTTGCGTTGATACCACTGCGCACCGGTTGCACGGCGGATGAACTTATTTTGTACTATTTGCAGCTTGTACAAGCGAGTAGGGTGCGTGTGGGCGAAGATCATGCATGCGTAGGACATAATAGGTCGTACGCAGGTTTATATAATAGTAATTTGTGCCTTAAGGGCATTTTACTTTTAGCGTTAGTTAAATTGTGTAGCCGGCCGGAGACGAACGCGGCTCTATTACGAACGTTATTAATGTGCGTAGTAAATGACATACGCGAGTCGAAAGTGACTACTAAGTATTTGATTTCTCCCAGGGGAGCGGTTGGCCATAAAGGGATATTTGCCCCAACTTTCTGCATTGACGAGGGCCATTATAAAGATGTGACGGGTAAGTACTTCGTGTGAAGTGAATCGCCACACTTTTTTCGGGATTTATTTCTATTCTCCATTTGCGGAACCAATCACCGAGGCGGTCGGCAGCGCTTTGGAGTCGAGCGGTTAGTTGTCTAAGGTTGCGGTCTGAATAAAAGAGCGCCGTGTCATCCGCGAAAAGCGCGAGATTGACGTGGGGGTCTTTAGGTATATCGCTCGTGTAGAGCGTAAAGAGCAAAGGTGAGAGGCAGGAGCCTTGTGGTACGCCGGCCGTGAGGCGGCGGCTTGTGGAGCGGTGCTTTCAACTCGATATCGAAAAGAGCGGTTCGACAGGAAGGCCTGAATGGTGTGTACGAGCCTATCTGGCACCTTGAGTGTGTACAGCTTGTAAAGCAAGCCGTTGTGCCAGACCTTGTCGAATGCTTTTGCGACATCGAAGAAAAGAGCCCCTGTACTAATATGTTTAGGGTGATTTAGGCCTTTTAGGATATGTTCCGTTAGGCGGAACAGTTGATCGGGACAGGAATGTCTAACTCGAAAGCCGAATTGTTCCGCCGGCAGAAGGCCGTTGGAAAACCCGTGCTCATTGAACCTGTTTAATAAAAGCCGCTCGTAGAGCTTCCCCAGGCAACTGAGGAGGCTGATGGGACGATAACTATAGGGCTGGTTGGCTGGTTTATTAGGCTTGCGAATGCCGATAGCCCTGGCTTCTTTCCAGTCGTCTGGAAAGGAGCAACTGGAGAGTAAAGTATTGTAAATGGTCGCCAGTAAACAGATAAGCGGCCCAGGGAGAGAGTTCAGCTAATTGCCTATGCTCGGCTTCATAAGCGAGAAAACGTTCCCACATAGCGGGGCATTCTTTGGGTACGAACTCCTCGAAAAGGGAGCCCATCGCGACGTAAGTGCCTTTGGGGCTTGTAGCCCCGCCGGCGTGTGTGAGCTAAATAAGCCTCCCCACCTTGCGGCAGGGAGGAGTGTGCCTAGAAATAACAATAAATTTGCCTGCGCTTTAGGTGCGCCAGGATGGGTACCTAGCTGTCGCCTATTGCAACAAGCACACAGTTAATAAATGAAACAATGCCGCCTCTGAGGCGAGAAGTGTGTAGGATTCTACTTACAAACAGGAACCTGCCTACGAGCACAACACTACACTAACACTAAACAACTACACTATTTGCACAAGATTGAAATTGCAACCGAGGTTGCGAGTGGCGTCTAATTCGGGTGGCATGTGCCTCCGTCTTAGAGAGACGTCCGTTCCGTACGAGAGCACGAAGCGGAATGATGAAATAAAGAACATTACATCTTATGTATATTTATATTATTTGACTACATTGATACAAAAACTAACCTTTTTGAACCTACCTGTAGCAAAAGTTTTGACATTGATTGGGTATACCTCTAAAATGAGAAGGCGAACGGTATGTAGCCCCATTGTAGGCGAGTCTATAGAGTTTTACTTTGGTGTCTTTGTTTGTATGTACATCTACAACACGTGGTGGGTTGCAAAAAGTGGGCTCCGATTAACCCACTCGCCAGAGAAAAGGCGAAAGAACAATACGCCGGCTTTCTGTGAGGCAGCAGCCTCGGCCGTTGCACGAATGGGCAGGCTCATCCGGGCAAGTACCACGACCTCACAGAAGACCGGCGTAAAGTGGAAGTATAACAAATACTTTCACGTTTCGTCTGGTGAGTGAGGTGGCCGGAGGCCAATTTCCAAAAAGGTTGTCAAAGCATCTGCAAACCCTCGGGTATAGCAGATGTCTATGGGCGGCGGTATTCACTTAACATGAGGTGAACCGTCTGCTCATTTGGTAACTTTTCATATAAAAAAACAAGCCTGTCCATTCGTGAAACAGCCGAAGCTGCTACTCATCCCTACCACGGGAAACATACACACTATTTATTGAATCGTATCCTAACTATCAGTCCGTATTACTATCAAACTATGGAAGCTTCAACAAACGCATAGGTAAAGCCCACCACGAGCTTGAATCAAGCACGGCCTTAACAAATGAAGAGGTAACAAGCAGCTTGATACCTCTTCATTAGTGCGTGCTCATGCATGCGTTGCTTAATGAGGGGGAGACATTGGCATAGTGATTCCGTGAACCGTGACCCCAATGATCGCTTAGTGTGTTATTTTTTTTAATGAGAAAAAATGTGAAAAAAAAAATTGTTGACTGAGGTCGGTATGAACCACCCCGGAACGCGGCTGCACCCTGTGAACGCGTTGTATTTGTTTCGTGTTAAAGAACGAACGAATTTGGTTCGGTGCTATCACTCTCCGTTAATGTAGTGTTATGGACCGGGATTATTTTATATATCAACGCCTTACCGTATAGTGATCTCTTATTACGCCATCGATTATCAAAATCGAGAGCTAATTCTCTTTTCTTTCCCGCCTCAGATGTCTGTGTTGAGAGCAATCGCCGTGTTCCTCTGTGGGTTCCTGTCACTAAAGATGTGCAGAGCCCAGGTTGTCTTTCCGGGCAAGTGTCCAGAAGTTGAAGCCATGACTAATTTTGATGTCAAAAGGGTAAATGAATGTTTATTAATAAGTAAAACAGGGAATACCAAAATCTAATCAAAAGTATAAAAAAATAACCATAATATCTGCAGGATATTATAGAATTCTTCTGTATAAAACAAAATCCAACATGTCTCATGAAGTTTGCTATTGGAACCTAATAGTTCATATTTAATACGTATGATGTAGCCAATGATATTTTATACTAGTATAAAAAATTGTATAAAATGTAATTGGATGTAGCCCATTTAATTGCTACATCCAATGATATTTTTTTTGGAACGAAGTTCCTTATCGCGCGTTGTGAAAGGGGGCAGGACGGAAAAAATTCTCACGAAAAGTTGTAACGACACCTTTTGCTATAGTAAGCTATTGTAAGCTGTGCGGCGTGCGCATGTTTCTCTATCTGTTGTTTGTCTGTCAGACAGACAAACATGACAGTTTCTAGAGGAAGAATTTGATTTAAGAATTAACAATAATCCAGCAGAATCAACAACAAAATATAATACTACCATTGATGCAGTTTTTGCAAGACATTTAAATAAAATAGAATCCCAAACATATGTTTCCTACTTCAGTTACCACAAGCCAATTTTTACTAAAATTGAGCCTACTAATTAAGTTTATATTACATTATATTTGTTAATAATAAAAAAAATATTCTTATAACTTAATAAAAATAAAATTTTATTACAATTCCTTCACTAATTAATCGAAAGGAACTTCGTTCCATCCGGGTGTCCCTTGACACCTCTCAATGTTTTTAATTTATTTAGATTTTTTTTCATAGATAACGTTTTCTTCTCTTTGTCGATTTACATATTTATACATTTACAAGTTTAAGTTTTACATATTTATATTAATACTTTTTACACTCTGACTGTGAATAGGGAGTTGTATTCATGGATTGACTAATATCAATGTGATTAAGACAAAAACTTTTATTTCGTTTAACTATTTTGAATCTTTCGAATTATTTAAGTAGCTAATTCAAGACTACAAACACATACAATTTTCTTTTTTATCGGCGGTAAACAATCATGAACCTTATATTCTATGGGTTAGAATCGTGGATTATAGTAATTGCTTTTTTATCTTATTGCAAAAAATACTTCAAAATGTTATTTTTCATTAATTTCTTTGATATTACATGGATATTAATAACGATATGCGATTTAATATAAGAAATATATGTGAATGTTTGCAGTATTTGGGCCGGTGGTACGAGGCCGAGAAATATTTTGCGTTTTTCGAGCTGGGTGGCCGATGTATCACGGCGGACTATGGTGAAAAAGACGATGTAATAACTGTGAAGAACACTCAAATCAACGATTAGTAAGTAAAAATTCAATTAAAATTAATTTACATATATCTTTGTTTTCAATGATCCAGATTGTAATTTTTGTGCTTTGAATATTTTATGTTAAACTATTCACTCTAAAAAACTAATGTTTAGTATTGCTAGAATAAATTTCGGTTATCTAACAAAAGGTTAAGCTATAAAAACATATATTAGATTCCATATTTTTCAATATATTAAAATGCGGCCAGTTCATTTTTTACTTACTTATACGTTAAGCGAAAGCCTACCTTTTATTTCTCTCTCCTTTATATTTTCTTTCGTTATAAGGGCTATATATATATTATTTAAAGGGCGTAAAAAAATAAAGAACTGTTTCATTTATGGCGGACGTAATGATTAATGAGCTTCAATTAAACTTCTGGTTTAAATTACAGCACGGGGAAAGTGAACAAGATCAAGGGCTATGCAGTTCCGGAGAGTGAAATCGGAGAAGCAAAACTCTCCGTGTATTTCCCTCAGATGCCGATTAACATCGCTGCTCCTTACTGGGTCGTAGATACAGATTATGATAGCTACTCAGTAGTGTGGGGCTGCTTTGAGTTCGGAAAACTTTTTCATACTCGTTAGTATTGTCTACTTGACTTTTTAGATTAAAATAAATTTTGGATTTTTTTCTTTTGCACTTAAGATTGAACATTAAAACATGTAGAAAAAGTTCGAAAAGATTGTCGCCGCTGTGGGAATTGAACCCACGTCTTCGGCACGCGGCCTGACGCTCTAGCCACTAAGCTAAACGGCTGATTGTCACACAGACGAAAATCTTAACGTCTTTTATCTACATTATTTTTTAGCATTGGGTGTTGCTAATTCCCATGGGCGGCGATTATCACTTAAAATTAAGTAAACCGATCCGCTTGTCACCTTCTCACATTTAAAAAAATAACCTACACATTACAATTTTCAGGAAACGCCTGGATATTAACTAGAGAACGAAACCCACCAAGCTACGTCATCGAGAAGGCGTACGAAGCCATCAGGGAGAACAACATCGACGCATCTTACTTCTCAAAAACGGACCAGAGCAATTGCACCTTGGAAGACGACCATTAATATCACTCGATGACGAATTTATTGTTCGCTACTATGTCAACGGTGCCTGACGGAAGATTCCGCGAATTTTCTCGATCGGCGCTTAGCATTTACCGTTTGTTTCGACGAGCGATGCCTATTTTCGAATTATTTCTATTCAACTAGTCTACTTTAAACAACTGTTACAATATATCTATTGATGTATATCGATCTCTATGAGAAATATAAAATACCATAGTTTTGACAAATTACAAGTTATTAAATAAACATAAAATTAAGCTAAATAGATTATAGATTATTTCAAGCCCCAATATGATTAAAGTGCCTCAATTAAATTTTAGCTCCTTTTACCTGAAGGAATTGTCACGCAAATTCACTTTGTTACATTTTGTCGACAATGTATCATTAGGCGTATCATCATATTTAGTTAGAATAAAACTATCATGCAGTTGTAAACACTACGCTAACAATGAGCTGTGACAGATGATGTGTGAATAAATATTAATTTAAAGAATTAAACGTCCATCAAATTTTACTGTCCAATCTGTTAGACTGGAGATACGGAAGACAACTCGATATCGAAATACATACTAACTGTTGAAAGTTTATATAATATAGAAATCATTACCTACTACACTTATTAAATTCAAAATTATAACTTCCACCATGGGAACAGTTCGGGACTTCGGGAAAAATATACAATACTATGGATGTCCAATCACAAAAAAAGTCGAAACGTCACCATAATTTATTAGTAGCGTACAAAGCGGTTAACAATCGTGCACATGACATCAGGAAACCAAAATAGAAACGCGACACGCTGGCGATGTGTTAACTTCGGCAAGAAAGAAAATAAATTTATTTACCGAAAAAAAGGACGCACACAACAAAGGAAATTTGACATAAAATAAGAATAATACATTGCTACGGTAAAACAAAACAAAATCAGTACATGACTCAAATATAAAACTATGTTGAAATAAAAACAAATTGTATTAAAAACGAAAAGAATTCTACGCCCTATTATCGGTAAATTAGGTCAGCAAGCTCATCACTATGCTTTACCGGAAGTCAAAACCGCAACGCGGCGCCGACTTTCAGTACTAGCGCAAAGCTAGGTCGGCGTGCTGTCGTCTGATTGCCAACTCCTCCTGCGCTGTTTCGTCGCCTCGTCGTAAGTGGGGGGAAGGCGGGCGGGGGCCCTCCCGTGCCTTTGCACCAGGCGGTCCTCCTCCACCTCCTCCGGTATGGAGTCGCGCCGCCGCGAGTCGAATTCGACGAGCGCCGGCTGCGATATGTTATTCCGCTGGCTCAGTTTCGGCGCGCTGTTGGCGAACTGAAACGTTAGCGGACGGGAGGCTGTGTATTGTGCCGGCTTGGCTTGCGCCTCTCGTGGTTATTAGTTTTTTTTTATGGGGAAAAAAGCGGCAAAGGAGCAGAAGGCTCACCTGATGGTAAGTGATCACCGCCGCCCATGGACACCTGCAACATCAGGCTTACAAATGCGTTGCCGGCCAGGAAAGAGTATGCTCTCATCTTGAAAGTTCCCAGGTCGTAACGGTTATTAATGGTCTTGGTTATTAGGTTAACTGTGGTAGGACCATGCAACAGTGTTCACTGTTGGACGAAGGGCAGATCCGTCCGGGTAAGTACCACCACCTCGTATACCGGCGTAAAGTAGAACTGTTACACTTCTGCGTTTCCGTGTGGTGAGTGATGCAGCCGGGGTCCATTTTATTTAAAGGTGGCAACGCATTTGCAATCCTACGAGAGTTTTTTTCCATGGGCGGCGGTTATCACTTAACATCAGGGGAACCGCTAGCTCGTGTGTCACTTTCTCACATAAAAAAAAATAGTTGGTGTTGACAAAGCCCATGTAGGCAAAGGTCACCAAGCTGTAAACGAAAGGAAAAATGAAGCACCCTTCAACTGTAGGTTTCTAAAATAACAAAAAAATAAAAATAAATAAACGTTCGTTAGGTACAAGTTTTTAGTGTACAAGTCAACGTGTGTTTGGACTTCTTTGGTTAATGTTAGCCGCTTTAAGGACTTAATCCATGAAGTCGTTGAACACATTTATTTAATGTAAGTTATGAAGTCGTAATCTCTTGAAGTTTACTTTTTAGTATTACTCTTACGTAAAAGCATCGCATTTTCCTGACTTCTGAAACCCCTATTCGATAACATAATATCTTTGTAGTCGCTTTTGTTATACGTATTACTTATAACAAAAATACTTTTTTTGTACTCACAGAAAGTATTAAATACGTAATTGAAATATAAAGAACATAATATGTTATATCAAATAATCCAGTGGTTATAATTATTCAAAACATCATCGAGAAACATAGAGAAAAATTGTGTTCGACACAATGAACACATTGTTATTTGACGGCAAACAATTTTTAATGAACGCAATAAATTAGCATTAATACGTCGCAGATAGAGTGGGCAAATAGAAATTACGACCGAAACCGTAAGCAAGGTCCCGTCTCTTATTTGCAAAGGCTCCGGCAAGACAAACATGGAATATCTCGTTTCCTACATTGGCAGATGCGATCGTTTGAAATTGTTCTCGCATCGCACTGTTTTCAATATGTGATATTTATAATATCTCTATATGTTAACTATGGAGAGTAGCGATTATATTTAGCCAACTATGAGTTTATGGAGGAATTGGTAAGCATAAGTCTAGTGACGTCAAATAAAAATCAAACGTACTAATCCGATGATCTGTTTAATAGTTAAGTAAACATTATTCCTTTTAGTATTAAAATCTACGCTACTGCTAAACATCAGCAATGGTCGTTATATTTATATGAATGTTGTTTTCGTTCAGCCCGAGTGCTCGTAAAGCTTCATCGAACGCAGAGCTCATGCGTACGCTAAAGATAGCGCTAGGCAGACCTTTTTTTGGTATCGGGGGAAATCTTCAAATGATATCCCACTCTCTTGGGGGTGCAGGGTTAGGTGAGGCTCCTAGCCTCTAAAACCCCGCTCGATGGGCACAGTAAGTACGTTGATAGGGGTCGCCTACGGAACTCACCGCTGCCCCTGTGTGCTGCGTATCGCTTCGGGGAAGACTGAAGCCTCCCCAATTACCTCGCCGCTTTGTGGCAACGAGGAGGCAAGAGCCGTGATAGCTCAGTGTCCGGGCGCTCGCCTTTATTTTAATATATACTCGAGTAACCTGAGTTCGATCCCCGGTGCCGGCACCAATGAAGTTTTTAACTTTAAGTGCTGAATTATCACGTGCTCCGCGGTGAAGGAAAACATCGTGAGGAAAGCTGCATATTTTCGAAACAATAACAAAAAAATGTATTTCGAAAATATGTGAAGTCCGCCAATCCAGTGGGGCCACGTGGTGGACTATGCCCTGATACCCTCTGTATAGAGGAGGCCTTTGCCCAGCAGTGGGACATGTATAGGCTGTTACTTTACTTTTTACTTTTTGCGGCAACTCGTTGTAGAGGCGTCTTGCCGACCCTATATGGTTCACTGTAAAGGAAAACCATGCACCATCTCGGTTTTCCATGAACCCAGTGTTCTCTTTAGTCGCCTTTTACGACAGGCAAGGGATACCTTTACCACATTCTATGAGCAATAGGAAAAAGGAAAACTAACAAAAAATTACCGTGCTGTGCGCTAGATACAGCTAGGGAGGAATTTTCATCTACGAGCCGCGGAGACAAAATTATAGCGAGCGTAGCCTGCTTTCATTACGTAAACCATAACAGAAAAGTATTCTTCTATTTTAAACCGTTCTTCTGGCAACTGGTGGCCAGTCGGATTGGCCTAATCATGTGACTTCAGACACAGTTAACTTTACTGCACAAGGGAATAAACCAGTTGAGCTCATCAACTCATGGTGAACAACAGCATACACAAATATATTACCTTATACGGATTAGGGTGTCTGATCTGACTGGACAGTACTGGGTTCGATATGTGTCCCTTCGCTTGCTGATGGGTTATTTCCAACGCTGAACGGAGTAAGTCGACCTTCGACGCAGAGCCCTGCGGCGTTTTGGGCAGGATCTCAATGTTGCTGCAGCGCCTCTGGCTGTTGCTGCCACTGCGGCTCCTGCACAGCTCGTTGATGTCGCCTTGAGAAAGCTAAAATGGGAAATATTAGGTCTTGCGTCACGAAGGATACATAGTCCTGCCTAGCCTATAATGACTTACGTATTTATGTAATGGAACTGGAAATTTATTAATATAAACTGTATATTTAAATGGTTCTAATCTTGTGGTCAGAACCGGCAACAAATGAGGGCTATGAACCATTGGCATTTGGTCGCAAGTTAGTAAGGTGGGAAGGTCAGAAGGCAAGACAGAAAGTCTTACATTATCTTGCTCTTTGTAGCGTACCTTGCTTAATGAAAAAGAAGTGATTTCGACCAAATAAGTGTTATTTAATAGTTGAAAACTAAATGAATTATGAAATATCTGACATTAAATAAAGACATCGAAATTCAAAAATTTGGAGTTCGATTCTAAGACAATTTTCACTCCTCATCGTGTTTATCTATAACCTGACTAGAAAAAAAATGCTCGTAACGTTGCGGATCAAAGTAATTTTCTTTTACCAATCGATTATGGTAGCAATGAAGAAAGCGAATTAGGCATTTTGTATTTTTTTTAACATTTCACATTTTATATTTTTCTGGTCAACTTTATAACGATTGCAGAACGAAAAATGACAGAAACAAAAATAGTAGGATTGAATATAACAGAAAAAACCAAATGAATAGAGAAATATTTGAAATATTAAAACTGTTATAAACTTAATTTTATGTGCATACCCTTGCACGGGAACTCCTTGGCAGGGAGTGCAATGATCCCAATGGATTGAACCGGGTGATGATGTGCAGCCTCTCCAGCGAAATCATCGTTTCGGCGTCCTTCCTCAGCGGTTCGCCGTTAAGCTTGTCCCCTTCGCCGCTTTCTAGAAGGAACGGTTTTATATATTGGGTAATCATAATCAATTCCGCCTTTATCCTACTGAGGGTGGGGGGGAGCTTATCCTAATAAGAACTATGTTGTTAGTAATACAGGTATTTTGCGACCGATAGGCTGCCTGACGTCAAACCTACTTGGGAACAAACATCCCAAACAATCAACGGTGGTAGGGCCACGCAGCAGCCTCGGCTGTTGCAGGAATGGGCAGGCTCGTCCAGGTAAGTACCACGACCTCACAGAAGACCGGCGTAAAGTGGAAGTACAATATTTTCGCGTTTCGTCTGGTGAGTGAGGTGGCCAGAGCCCAATTTTCAAAAGGTTGTCAACGCATCTGGAAATCTCGGGTGTAGCAGACGTCCATGGGCGGCGGTATTCACTTAACATCAGGTGAACCGTCTGCTCGCTTGGCAACTTTTCACATTAAAAACAAATTATCTGCGGGTCACGCAAATACTTGTCCCGTGTGCCAATCGAACTTACGACCTCCGTCGCCGAAGGCAATAGCTTGGTAACTACGCCACCGAGTTACTAGAATCGAGTATCCAAATGCAATGAAAGAATGTATAAAACAATATTCCGTATATCAGTGGTTCTACACAAACTGAACATACTTAGAATTCTCGACCCGCACAGTTGATTCCTATTGTAAACAAGTTAAGAACTCAGTTTGATATAATTTTTATGTAAAATTGTCGGTACTTTACTTGCATTTTCAAATTTATCGAGCTAAATTAAATTTTTTGACAGTTTTATTTAATAGAAAGTTTCGATCTTTACACAACGTAAAGATAGAGCAGGTTTTAATTTCACACGTATAGAGTTTAGCATCGTCCTCAGCGTACTAATCGGTGTTTTATACTAATAAAATGAACGCACTTACCTGTATCCGGTTCGCAAACCTCCCGCATACCGGACATGTTAATTTTCCTCAGCCAGAAGTAGTGTAGAATTCCGTACAACACTCCACCCAAGAAGGCAATCAGGCCCATGTACCGAAAAGCCTCTCTTGTTCCCAAAGATGCTATAAGCAGCCCTCCCCCGAAACTGCCACTGCCCCTTCCTTTACAAATTGACACAAAATGTTTTTCTAACTCAATTTATTGAACAAATGTTATTAACAGCTGGAAGGTCTTTTTTTAGTATAATTAAAATAACTAAAGCTATTCGATTCGATTTCTATTCACTCCTGTTAAAATAAAAAACTAAGGAAGAATATTTTGTACATTTCCGCAATTAATCGCTGTCTTGCGCCTTTGCCCGCCATTTTTCGTAAGGCATTATGACGTCATATTTATTAATTAATAGGGATTATTAAAATGTTCATCAGGTATTAAAGACCCCGATTTAGACTGAAATGCTTAGCAGCCTTTATGCCACGTGATTTTAACCGACTTCAAGAAAGGAGGTGATTTCTCAATTCGACCGTATATATTTTTAATTTTTTTTTATGTGTGTTCGCGGATAACTTCCTCGTATATGAACCGATTTTGATGATTCTTTTTTTTATCGGAAAGAAAATATCTCAAGGGTGGTACCATGATAAGCAAACCCGGATCTGATGATGGAATCCCAGAGAAATTGAGGGCCATCATTGAATGTTATGGTATTAACAATGTTTTTTAATTTTCAGATTGAAGTCGGTTTTTTTTTTGTTAAAAATTATTGTCTTCGTTTCTGTCGAAGCTATAAAACATGAGCCATGGAGCGCTATTCTTACCAAGGCTAAAATGTGCCATCCCCAAAACTCCGATGAGCGTCGCCAGCAAGCTCTTCGGTGCCAGCATGGCGCAGTAAGTAGCCGCCGCCACCCACATCAAGTGTACGGAAAGCGATTCCATCGCTTCGAACGGGAAGCACCACCATGAGTTCCTGCGATGTGTTCTTTAGTTTAAATACAATATCCTTAATGGGACCGTTATTAAAATTAATAAAACTTTCGTGAGACATTATTACCGGAATAATGAAACGGCCGCGCTCTCATCAATTGTGTGTGTACCGACTAGTTTCGGACCTATCTGAGGTCCTTCGTTCTGTTCTCAAGCACCCTCATGAAGGAACTCCGATAAGTCCGAAACTAGTCATTTCACTTAAGTTTGCTTGTGCTATTTCAATATGAGTTATTATTGCAATGAAAATTCATTTGTTTGATCAATTTGTTTCAACTTTCTTTAATATTATACAATTCTTTACTATTATACAAAGTTTCAACTTTCTTTACTATTATACGATAAATCTCTTTTGATAATAATATGTTCGATGTTGAATCATCGGGAATGTTCAGTATAGGCCCAAAATTAGAACCACGCCTATATTATACTTGTACTGACGTTTAATGCCATTATTTATTAATACATGAAGTGTTACTTTAATACATTTAAGATAGACCTCTTTCGGACAGTTCGATAAATCGTAGTTCTAGCTCGTGTATTACACGTATAATTATTTAACTATCTATTTGCGTATACAGGAGCGATAGGCAATAGGTACAACCCGACGCAAATGTTTATACTCGAGATCCGCCCACAGCGTATCATTGTGCTCATAAACTTGACAATTTCTTATCGTCACAAGTAGATGCATTATTACTCAGCCAATACTGATATAACGTAAAAGGACGAAATGATTTAACTGCTCAGTTAAAACGTATTAACTACTTACTCAAACTGCCCTTACGACCATGTTTATTCACGCATATCTTTATATATATAATTCTTCTGTACATGTGTATGTCACTGAACTCCTACTAAACATTTACAAATAAGAAGTAGTAAGTCCGGCATGATGGTGTCGTAAAAAGGAATGATTCAAAAAAGATTTCATGCACATGACACGAATATCACATTGCACTTTGTTTATATTGAATACAAAACATTGTCTTTCGTATCTGATAAGTAGGCCTATTGTTATGTCATTAATTGTTATACGGGTGTCTTCGTTGCAATATTTAGACATACTTATATAAGTAAATAACAAATAGCACACGAATGAACCGTGCAGGAACCACGCTAATACAGAGGTAACAAGTTACAAGTGGCAAGGCTAAAGTAGTTGAAATTATTAAAAAATAGAAACAATACACGCGGCGGAGTGGTCGGCTTAGTGGATTGAGATATCTTGATGCATAATCCGGAAGGCGAAGGTTGGAATTCGGGTAGCGGCAAAAATTTTGCCGGTTTATCTACACATTTTTTGTTTCATCTTAACTGCAGAGACTAGCGCCAAAAATCGAATATCAAAAAGACTTGAAGCAATGATAGCGGAGTAGAGCCTACATAGAACCTAATAAGGCTTTTGAATGGACCTGTCACGTAAAGGGTCCCACATCACAGGTCGTAAATCTGACCCTATACACGTGAGAAATAAAAAAGTCATACTAACAGAAAACTCATTTACGCAAGTCCCTAAATTCGAAACCGAAATCTCAGATCGTGAGTCAAAACTAAATAAATAATTAAAAAACATTGTCAAACATTGTGATCATTAAGAGGCAATATTTGAGATTATAGAAAATGAGCAATGTCCTTCGCAAGTTCATTCAGATTATTCTGTCTCGGGTATTGAATATAATGTATGACACAAATCGCAATGTATTTCAAGAGAAGGTCAAAAGGAACCACTTACTCTATAAAAGAGTAGCCGACGAGCCTTGCCGCGTGGGAAAAGAACGCGACGATGATGACGTTCACGTGACCGATCCGTGCGGTGATGGCATCCGCTCCGTAGAGGAACGGGATGCTGCTCAGTGTGCCCACGGTCACGGTTATTCCTGTACATTAGCCGCTCTTGAGACAATAGATTACGGTCGAAGCAACGAACGCCACTTTGCTCATTAACAATTTGCCTAGTTCTAGCAACATTTGAGGACGCCAAGGGAAATTTTACGAACGTCAGCGTTCAGCTTTAACTTTAAAGGACACTCACCGAGCAGGAAATTCGGCGCGCCCAGCTCCTTCAGATACAAGAACAGGTAAGACTCGATGAAGCCCCAAAAGTTGCCTAGTGCGAACAGGAAGAAGATGAATATGATTATGTGCGGCATCTTGATGATATTCACAAGGTCGTGTAGCAAATTGTCGGCCGGCAACTTGGCACCGAGTGGCATTACTGCAACCGTCATCGCCGATACCAAAAGTAAAACATCGTAAGTGTAAAAAGCGGCCGAGTAATCAGTGTAACCTGCAACAGAACGGTGCAAATATTCACAATACACTATTGACATTGAGATAACGATTATAGGTTTTGACTACGCACCAACTTGTTTGCTCCTCATATCTATAAGCATGCCTGTGATAGGGGAGAATATCGCCATTCCGATGCTAGAGAACAATCTCTCTCTGCCAAAGTCACCGCCGTACTTCTGTATCATTGTCAAAGCGATCGGATCCATAATCGTGACGCCGGCTGATAGCATAATCGTTCCCATGAACCTCAAGAAGAAGTAAATGTAGAATGTCTTGTCGTCGCTCTCTTTGTAATCGGGCGGACAGATTTCGGGGCCGCCTTTCCTGTAATGCGATTTACACTATTACCTTTTTACCTCCGTTCAATTAGTATCTACCTATCTAACATTAGGTCGGTCACGCACCTGAAATCGCATTTTTGAACCATGCAGTCCGCTGAGAGCGATTCCAACCGTTGCTGAGACAGCTTCGTCATATTATGCAACATAACAAGACCACCACACCTAAGATCCTCCTTATCTAGCGCAGTTATGTTCACTCCTTGCGCTATCAGTAACTTCTCGCCGAACCTAGATCGAAAATCTGTCACCGTATCATTGTCATCCTGAAAATTATTGGTTTTTGTTATTTCCTTACCTTCAGACTAATTTCGCTTTTGTAATTCCAATTCTACACATATTATACAGACCCGCTCCATTTCAATTCCTAGCTGCTCCTTTGGCTCTCCTAAATCATCATGAACTTCAATCAGAAAGAATGCCGCGTCATTGTAATCTTCGTCATCATCAGTCATGTTTAAGTAACTAAAACATAGGGAAATTAAGTTAACATCATTTTAATATGATGAAAACCAGTGGCACTTGGGGACTGCCGCGGTAAAGCATAGAATCTTTTATCAACTTATGCAATTATAATTACTTATTTATTTTTTATTTATGCAGTATTTTTTTTTCTTTGATATTTATTAATAAATAATAATTAATATATATTATAATTTATTTAAATTATTTACAAAAATTATAAGAACTATTAAGTCAGTTTCTAAGCTGTTGGATAGTTAAATTACAATATAATAACATTTTTAAACTTGTGACATCTTTCGAATGGAATGTCCGAATTTAATAATTCAAAAGTTATATAAATAATATTGAAACAGTCTTAAATATGAAGTAATTTATTTTTATAAGGATTAATACCAAGATACAAATAAAGAGCCTTTTATAGCAGCGGCATTTCAATCAAAATTTTAAAATAACAGAACACTTGTGGCATAACTATAATAGTTAGATATATGCTATCGCGACACTTTTTGTAAATGTGTTCTGCAAATTCGTAATACATTATTTTATTCTATCATCAATAGTTTTCACAGCGCAAGCGACGTAAAAAATATTTTAGGTAATATTTGTACACTTTGGGTTACACTATTGAAGGTTTAGTAAGTATCCCTAGTTTTTTGAAAATATAATATAGCCTATGTCATCCGAGGATAATGTAGCTTCCCAACAGTGAAAGAAATTTTCAAATGGGTTCAGTAGCTTCGGAGCCTATTCAATGCATACAAACAATCAAATCTTTCCTCGTACATGGTAGGCGGAGTGGGTGGTGTTAGGTTTTATTCTCGTTACGGAATTTCTTGATTTGGTCGCCGCGCTCAAAGCCCGCGCTAAAAGCTATGCAATAGCTTAAAAACAGAATTTATTTCATAAGTTACAATATCAAAACACCCACTGAACCAAGCAATGGCCATGTAGGAAGGATTATCAGTAATAAAAATTATGACGCTTGTAACTGTTTACATCTTTATTAATAGTCAAAACATTGCATTACGTTTTATCTTATCTTTTTTTAATGTTCACCAACGCTATTTGAAGAAAAAGCCTATGCTTGCTAATAGAAATATAAGTATTTTTCGGTATTATTTCAACAAAGTAAGAAAGTTTACCTGCTGTTCGATAAATTTGGGGGTTTTATCTTATGACTGATATGAAAGTCGAGGTCATCTTTGTCATCAGAAGGGTCGCTGGCTGGGCTTTCCGTGGGCCTGGACAACATGCAGTGGTCCACGCACCTGTCCAGAACGAAGTCCACTTGTTCATCTTCGTCCGGGCATTCTCTACTAGGGCACGGGCTCCACCAAATCTTCAAACCAATTCAAATATCGTGACATTACTGTAAGCCCCACAAACTATACTCCTATATTAATTCTATGCCAGTAAGAGTACGAGTACCAGCTCGTATTAATGTAGAATTAAAAAAAGCTCCTAAATAAAAAAAAAGCTGAAGATGACGAGAACTCCGTTAACTCAGTTTGATATGCATAAATTTCGCTCGATTCTCTTAACTAATTCCGTGACTCGCGTTATGACACTTGTTAATCCGCCCTGGGGCCGGATGAGGACGATTTGCTCAAATTCTTAGAGGACGACTTAATTCACAACTACGTAGCAGGGGCCAATTCTTTGATGCCGATTTCAAAACCATTGTATTGTACAGTATTATGTACCTCGACGCTCCTTTTGATGGGGTGCCGCATAACGTAAGCCGATGGCATGATCCCGGGCGTCTCCTGATGCGGTATCAACAGCAACGAATGATGGAAAGCCGCGTTCAGTATCAGCGCCGTGATCACCACCGGTTTGTATTCACCGAAGCGGTCCACGAGGAAACCTAAAATAACGAACGAATGAACAAACACATCGAACAGCGTTTCTCGCGCGCACACACTACTTACCCGTCACAGGTGGACTCAGAAAAGTGGTGAAGGGCAGCGCCAAATAAACAAAAGATATCTCGGGCACGGTGAGTCCGATGCTTTGCATGTGTATGGTCAGATATGGGAGGAGCGACGCGGTCGCGCCGTACATAACGAACAAAGTCACTTTCAGCATAACCAAGTTGGGATTGATCCGCAACGAGAGTATCAGCCGCCCGAAGCAGCCGACCGAATCGTCGCCTGCGTCGTCCATGTCGCCGTCCTCGCTGTACTTTTTTGATACGTCATCCATGTATTCGGCCGTTTGCGCGCACCTCACATGTTCAACGGTGACAAGCTTACACGCGGAGTATGTCTAATCGACTGTCGCACGGAGCGGCGGTCGACGGTGCTAGTGCGATTATTTGCACGGGGATTATGAGCGTCGGTGGCACGGGAGAGCCAAGAAGGGTCCCGTGCTGCCGAGCGACTGCGGATCGCCCAGCCCGCCGGCGGACGCGGCAGGCCAATTTACAAATAATAGCGAATTACCTCCGTTTAAGAAGTGTCACGGTGATTGGTGGGGATGCTGGCTAAATCGGCTGGCGATTCCGAGACCTTGCGGATAATAACCGGGAATGGGGCGCTGTTGGCCACCTATGGGCTTTTAGTTCCCTCGCCGGAGTCGCGGATCGAGAATTAGTGCGACACTCGCTCTGGTTGTATCACGTAAGTAGTTTTTATTTCAATATTCGTAATTCGGCCAGCCCTTTTGCGGATTGCGATATTTTTATGACGTATACTAGCGTTTTCAATAAATAACAATATGTATACGTTAACCAAATTCAATTACAATATCTTCATATATATTGAAAAATTTAATTGAATTGCCAACAAACTACAGCCATCTGATCTGACTTCTCTTTGTCAATGGAGGACAGGGACTGATCTAATCACTTCTCTTTAAGTTTAAACCCCTAAAAACTACAATGGTAACCTACATAAAAACTTGCCCAATTTTTTTATGACTTGTAAACAACAACGTAATTAATTAACACTTGTGACTTGCAAAAAAATTAAGATATTTTTATAGATATAGGTATTCATAATTAAGGTAAGTTAAAATAAGAAATGTTTATTTAATGAAAATGACATTATGAATAAAAAAAATTAATTTCATAGGACACGGGTGTTTTGCCTTTCTGGATGGAATTTTAAAAGAAAAAAAAATATACATAAAAATTGTTTAATTATTTATACTTAATAGATCTATCAAGTTGGGCTCCCCAAAAAATTTTGCATTTCTATTCTCACATACCATTACTTCGTAGTTAGCTCTCGATTGTTCGTTATAAATAATAGTTTATTTATAAAAAATAATAAAATCTTGGTCCCCCAATTATACATATAATTTTTTGTTACTATTACTCTTCAAGTATTTACTTTATATCTTTCTTTATAAAATAAGTTTTTTTTCTATAAATGTCTATATTTTGTTTTGATTAACAATTTTCATTTAGCTTAATGATATTCAGATATACAACCCACTTGCGCATGCGTCAATTTTATGTTTCAGCAGGAAGTTTCTTGAAAAATCACAATGAAACATCAACAATGAGAAAATTTAAACAAGTTATTTGGTTAAAAAAGGGGCGAATGCAAAGGCTAGGTAGAAATTAATATATATATGAAAAAAAACATTTCGCAGCATAAAACCGTGCTCCAACTATGTCTAAATATTTATTTAAAAAAAATTGTTTGACAAAATCAAAAAGACAAAGTATTTTATATAATTCAACATAAATGGGTGAAATACATTAATTTGTTCACAAATATAAATACTTCCACGAGCCTCATCACTTTAGTAACATTAGTACTATAGATACTAGCTACGAGTTGATGCATTTAATAAAAGTATTAGGTTAAGAATAATGTTACTTAACTTAAAAAAAACTTTAAAAACTTAAGTTGCTGACAGTAAATTGATATCTACCAAGGAATTTATACTAAAAAGAATTTGGAAACATGTGATCTCAAAGTAATAAAAAATATACTTACTCCATGTTTGCTCCACACGATATAAATCGAATTTAATCACCAACGAGCCTCACCAAAATGAAACATGATAAAATACACATAGAAAAATGAATGATATATTTTTCATTCAAATATCAAATGTAAATAATTATAAGAATAGTCATATTGTTATATTTTTCATTATAATCGTTTTGAACCTAGTAACTTTTTGGGAAAAAACTGTTTTGTGTATAAATAAATAACATATAAAACTTTTATTTTTATTGTTTTTTTAATTACCTGTTATGGTGGATCTTATTAATATCTATTATCTATATACATAAAAATATTACTTAAAATATTACTATAACTAAGATAAATTATACATTTGAACGCCATCTGTGTTTCTAATAGCGATCTTAGTTTGTGTGGTTCCTACATCATATTTTGATTGCGCCATCTAGCGTAGAATAGTGTTGATTGTAGTTCGTGAAATAAAATTACAATATTACACGGTACAATATAATTAATAATTAAAGTATACTGACTTTTTTAACTTATTTTGACTTATTTTATAGTAAATTGAAGAATAATATTTACTTATCTTTACACGTACTTTTATATTCGCTTATTTATGAAAAACCTTATTTAAGTTTAAAATAAACTTAAAAAAACATATATTATTGCATTGAATATCTTTCGAAACATATACAATAAAATATTTTTATTTTTCTTTTATATGCTAAAGTTACCATAGAGATGTAGACTAATCAAAAATGTAGGTCTGCTTCGTCTATAGTCTACTGCAAATTGTCAACCATAATGCATTGCGCATAAATGGCCGCCATGTTGCTGCCGTCTGAAAGATGTTCACATCTGTGTGTGTTTACTAATGATTTTTAAGGACATTAATAGTTAAATTACAGTGTTTGTGAAATTGTGAGTGTATAATGGTTTCATACTAAATTTGCCTATGTGATTGAAAAGTCTATCAAATGTCTTTGTGGCCAATAAACAGTGAAATTTTCTTTAGGTAGTCATTCGAGTCGGACGGCATAATGGCTGACAATCTGATTCAAAAGTCACATAAAACTAGTGAAAAAAACAAGTATAACAACGTTGTTCATCGTACGACAAGTGAATCTCTTCGGCTGAACGAGTCAGAGAAAGGAGTGAGTCACCCGACAAGTCTTCAATCCGCCCATAACCCAAGGAAAATATCTTCCTTTCAGATTACCAGTGTGACGGTTGGTTCTCGGGTGAGCACTGATGCAGGAGAAGACTCTGCCGACGATCTAGATGAATCTCACACCGATGACATCTCAAGGGTGACCGATATAGAGAATGAAACTCCGAGCTATTCCGAAGATACGTTTTCAAAAGACGATGTGTTTTACAATGCGTCGAGTGCTTCTCTAGGTTGTGCGCCTGTTATACCAACTAGCTCGCAGTACGGTCTTGCTATTGTCGGTCAGGACAACAATACCAATCAAATCGGAGGTGCAGTGCCAAATAGTAATAACACAGAAGTGAATGACATGCATGTCAGTGTAACTAACGCCGGAACGGGTAGCATTATCAATCTTATAGGTAATGCGAAACCCCAAGAAGGCATGAAAGAAATACAGGAACATGTTAGGAATGAACGATTTAAAGTTGTGAAAATTGAGAGCACTGAACCTTTCAGAAGAGGAAGATGGATGTGTATGGATTATTTAGATCACACTACAACTCAACAAAATGCACCGATCACTCTGAATAACAACTTGGATGTTAATGAGAGTAACACACTTCAAGCTCCAGACAGTGGTGTGGTTATTAATGATAGTCAACATGATGATATGTGTAATGATTTGGCAAGCAAAGTCCCTAAAGACCACCAAGTAAGTGCTCCTGCTGTACAACAGATTGATCAAAGCGTGCAGAAACAGTTTCCTATTGCATCCCCTGGGCAATCGCTTACTCAGCCCATTAATATTGTGCAGCAACAAATGCCCGTCAACCAATCTGTGTCTGTGCAGTCACCACCATTGGAAATGCCTCAACAAATGCCTACTCAGAATATGCCTAATCAACAAGTAGGACAACAGCATCCTCAAAGTATGGCACATATTACAATGCAAAGTGCTCAGCAAAGTCACCCCCAATCTGCGCCTCAACAGCAAGTGCAGCAGATTCCACAAAGCTTCCCTCAGCATCAATTACAACAAGTTATTGCACAGTCACCAGGAATGACTATTCAACAAATACCAATGCACCAACAAATGCCACAACAGATGCAGCAAATACCGAACCAGCAAATGCAACAAATGAACCAACATATTCCACAAGCCCAACTGTCAAATATACAGCAAATACAGCAACAAATACCACAAATGCAGGGCATGCCAAATCAAGGCCAAATGACCCAAGTGCCCAATCAGCAGCCTCAGATGCAACAATTACAAATGCAGCCAATGCAAGGCCAACCGAACCCTCAACAATTACACCAGATGCAGCAGGCGCAGATGCCAAATATCCCTGGTCATCATTTACAGACACAGCAGTCTATGGGGCCGCAGCAGACCCAACTGCAACATTTGCCAAGTCAGGCCCAAATCCAAGCACTACAAAATCAGCAAATACCAAACCACATTCAACAAATGCAATTACCTGCCCAATTAAACGCACCCAATCAACAGATTCAACAGATGCCGACTCAAATCCATCAGATGCCAACGCAACCTCAGCAATCAGTGGTGCCCGGAATGCATCCTCAAATGCAACAACAAGCCATGTCTGGTGTTCAGCCGCAGTACAATCAAGCAGTTAACCAACAGTCCAATGCACAGAACATGATCACTGCTAGTATGCCGTCGTCTCAGCAGCCAATGGTTCAGACTCAGCACAGCATGCCACAGTACCACACGCAGCAGTCACAAATGAGCCAGCAGGGACAGACAATGCCTCAAGAGGTGCTCACAAGTATTGTTACATCCCAACAAGGTGCAACCCTACCAACTAATCTTCAGTCTATGGCCTCGCAACCTCAGGGGTCGACGTTGCCCGCGAACCTGCAAAGCCTAGCCGGCCAGCAGCAGCCGCCAGCGGTGCACGCGATGGCGCCGCAGCAGGGGGCTGTTCCCCAGGCCAACATGCAGATGATGGCCGCACCGCCGCAGAATATACAGATGACGCTGGACGGGAATCAGCCGAGCATGCAGATACCCGCCTCAGATCCGATATTCATGCAGCCGGCGAGCGTCGGCCAGCAGATGCCGGTGGGGCAGCACATCGCCCAGCAGCAGGGCATGCTGCAGCAGCAGGTCGGCGGGGGCCAGGGGCAGATGGGCGGTGTGCAGTATGTGCCCGGGCAGCAGGTGTCGATGGCGCACCAGAGCATCCCGATGTCGATGCAGCAGACAATGCCGGTGGGCATGGGCGTGGTGCAGTCGCAGACCAACATGGGCCTCGGATACGGCGGCGTGGTGCCGGTGATGTCGCAGAGCAGCGTCGCCCCGGTGGAGGCAGCCGTGTCCGGCACCAACTCGCCGGTGGTCTCGCTGCCGGCGGGCACGGCGGGGTACGCGGGGGGCGCGGCGCAACCGGCCCACGAGGGCCAGGGCTTCGGCAGCCCCGTGAGTGCGGTGTCGCATGCGATCAGTGGCGCGGTGATGAGCAGTGTCAATGTGAACGCGTGTGACAGTGCTGGTGGTGCGGAGCCGCCGCAGCCCGAGGGCCTGCAGGCGGGCGACACGGGCGACGGCAAGGAGGAGCCGCAGCCGGCGCCGCCGCCTGAGGACGAAAGGTCAGTTCGACATTCTACGCTGCCCTGATTGCGGTCTGCTTTTATCGCTCTTTCTCACGCGCGGCTCTAACGGTTTTGTTTAAATGTTCGCGCTGTGTTAGATTTCTTAATTATATATTTTTACTAGTATCGTAAGTTGTGGACGATATTCCATGGACAGCCAACTAGCTACGACTTCTCTGTTTTATTAATTGTTTGTTGATTTCTTTTAAATAGCGTTATGCATGGAAAGAAATGTGTTCATTTTTTTTTTATTTCTTTTAACGGTAACTTACATATTTTTTTGTACAGTTCTATGTTATAGTACATTTTGAATTGATTAATTTTTAATTACCTTCTCACCATTATTACCAAAAAAAATTTCTTCAAATGTTGTAAGGTACACATATGTATAGTTGCATTTTTCCTAGTTCGGTAACAGGATAATTATGTATTAACAGAAGTAACTATGTTACCAATTTTGGTAGTTAATTTTATTTTAAACTACCTCTTTCTATCGCCTTCCTGCGCGAAAATATCCCATCGGTTGAGCGTTATTACACAAAAACTAGTTGAACTGATCTCGGATGGGTTAAACATTTTCAAACTGCAAACATTGGAGCTTCAAGTCAGCTTTGAATTCTCTAGAACTGTTTCTCATTGATTTTTTTATTAAGAACTAGCCGCTGCCCGCGACTACGTCTTCGTAGAATAGGCTGAAGGCGTAAAATTCAGATATACATAAAATATGTATATAAATTATAGCCTATGTCTTATTCTGATGTATAAGCTATATTATTGTAAAGTTTCATTAAAATACATTCAGTAGTATTTGCGTGAAAGAGTAACAAACATCCATCCATACATACAAACTGTCGCGTTTATAATGTTAGTAAGGATTAGTAAGGATGATGAAGATCGTCAGAGATAAATCAGTCAAAAATTATCTATCATTCACTATATTAGAATAGTGGCAGCTCTAGTGGTAGAGCCACGTAACATCTACTGTTGCATGAATGGGCAGGCTCGTCTGGGGAAGTACCACAGCCTCACAGTGAACCGGCGTTAAGAGGAAGTATTATACTTTAGTTTAACGTTTCGTTTGGTGAATGAGATAACCGGGATCGTTTTTTTATAGTTTGCAATGAGCGACGGTTATCACTTAACATCTGATGAACTTGCTAACACATTACTACGAGTTTCGTTTTAATTGTGTCGAAACATGTAATATCTTCCTAAGTTGCCGAGATTTTGTGTTGTTTATGACATAATTATGTAGTAGATACTTTCGCATAGCCATTATTAAGCTGTCCTTGTACCCCAAGGAAAATTAACATTCAACTTTCCTTATGTTCGGTGCTATATTCGAGTATGAACAATATTTCTGTATACAAATGAAAACGACCATCGCACACACATCCCCTCATTTAATTGGCGAGCCGACTAAATTTTGAATACGCCGGGGATATTTATGGAAAGACTGAACTACACTCGCAGATAACTGTTGCTCGCATAGCAACAGCACGGAGCTCAGCACAGCGAACGTTGAATCTCCATCCGCGAAAATAACCCACCCATTCGCAGACAATGGTGGTTGTTTTCGTCGCGTCGGGCCGCATCTCGCGCCGCAGGCCGGCATTCGGTGTCCCTTTGATGCTGTTTATTTGCGCTTAGTCCTGCAACGCAAATAGACGGTTGACACGCGCGCCGCTGACTCACGCGCATTGCATTGCACTCCGAAACTTCGGCTTACGATCGGAATCGCTTTAGCTCTTCCACCGCGACTCGTCGCCAATCGCGACCGCTTCTTTAAACATGCGCGTTCGGTGATTCGATTCGTTCTACCACATTACGTTTTTCGAAAGCGCGGAAGTGACGTTTCGCGCGATCAGTGAATCGTTCCATTCTCCCGCATTACGTTTTTCGAATGAGGACCTAATAACCACCGCGCGGCTTGAGGCGTGACGTTTCAACTCGCGAATCGCCACCGCTTCGATCGGACGACGATCGGGCGCTCTGCGAATAGGAATCCCATTACGCGGATCGCGAATTCCGCACGTGCGGTCTACGCTGATCAGGCGCGACGGCGTCGACGCGTCGCTGGGCCCTTCGGCGTCCGTGACGCGGCGCTTAAGGCGGGCCGAGGGCGCAAGACGGCGCCGGTAATCGAGTCGAGAGCGGAAGGTCGCGAAACCCGAGCCCTCCGTTCCCTCCCATACCGCCGCGTGCATCGCGCCGCACGATCGTGCGATACATCGTTGCCAAGCAACGTCGCCCGTACGCGTTTATTAGCAACCGATCGGCTGTACCGCCCGTAACGATGCGCGGCGTCGCTTGCACGAGCGGTGGCCGCTTTACACGTGAGTAGAAGTTGTTATTTTTTTTTTTATTCGCTACTCGCCCGCTTTGGACATCTATAGGTTTGAAGATGTTCGACACTGAGTTTAATGGGATTTTGTTTTAATTTTATTTCGAGACTACTTTGAGAGAAATGTTATATATACACGATATTTAACCGGGAACTCAGATCGTGCAATTTTGATATGTATACGCATATTCTGAGATAAAATGGCTGTTTGAAATGTGTGCTCCAAATATTAGTTAACATATTTTGGCATCTTACCGAGCCATGTAGAAGTTACACGAATCATTCGTAAAAGTTCAAGTTTGACCTCGTTTCTATTGTAACGGCTTGTAATAAGCGAAAGGTTACCTTAGAACTTATTTTAAACAAAATATAGGTGTATGCAAACAATTCAACACCCTCCGTATTCAATTGTAGGAATGAAGGTATATACATATACCTGAAAGTCATTAACACAAATGAAAAGAAAAATAAAAAATCAAACCATGCCCATAACCTATTATTATTTATTTTAAGAAATTTTAACTAAATACTACGTACGATACAATTAGTTATTTTACGGATAGTTCTCGGACTCATCTGCATGATAGTTTCCATCCGATACGATCAATTGCCGTACTTATATTGGTGAAAGTGGATGCTGAGAGCTCATCTAGCCCACAGTTTAGCTCTTAATAGCATAACATCTGTCAGATAAGACACTAATGGGTTCAATTAGTAAGTAGTAGCTTATGCCATGGAAAGTACTCGATTTCAATGTATACCTCTTTAAATTACATTAGAACTATATTTCTTTTTAGTAAATCCAAGTATAACACCGCCACAAAGGACTCACGCGATGCGACATTTCCCTTGAAATTAATGTTAAAGATATAAAAAATGTGGAAAAAAACAATTTTAGTTATATGTCTATTTACTCGTATTCAATAACAATAAACTTAAACTTGTTCAAGTGAGATATTGGCACTACCACCTAACATCAATTTACTATTTAAGTGTTGGCGATTTAAGTATTTTAATAAGATTATTTATAAAAATATATCAAAGTGCCAATAAATAATCTTTTTTAATACTGCAAATAGTTTTTTTTTGTAAATAAATACACTATTGTTCAGTGGAAGAAAAATGAAAATAAAATTATTAAATATTATTTGAATGTCGCAATGCTATTTTCGAATAGCAGCCACCTCACTAGGCGTTATAAATTGCATTCCTGTCCAATTCAGAGTGCATTGTTCCGTTACAGCTCAACTAACAATTTGTTCCAAGCCACGGCGTCTAATTATCGAATTAGTCGATTTTAATTAATTTACGATCACTGCGTTACATTTGAATTAGTTCATAGTTTAATTTATCCATAAACGTTATACGTTGAACCTCAGAAATGGATGGCAGAATAGGTATAATATCTGATAGTGATATGTGACGTCAATTCTTTAACTTTACCAACTGTGTATTGTGTCAAAGGCGTATTAATTGCCGACGTAATTTTCTTCAACGTAATACATTATTTACGTATTTCGATTCTAAAGTTGTAACCTAGTTCAACTGGTTTCCATACTAAGATTAATGCGGAGATCCTGTTTAGAGGTGATTTAAGTGTTTTAACGGATGTTATGTTTTTTTTTTTCTTTTTCATTTTGATATACGGTTTTCAGTATAACATAGAACAGTGTCGGATAAATTTAAAAACTCTTGTGCCACTTTTAAAAACGGCACGTAATTATTAGCTGCGGGTAAAACTGACATAGAAATATGTCATTTAGCCTTCTCAGAATTGGCAAGTGTAGACGCTGGCAGCGCATGAAAAAAAATGTTTATTGTAATATTTTAGCTACGTCGGCATTACGAATACGTTGCAAGTTTGTTGTCAAACAAACATACGAGAATTGACGGTGCGTGACACGAGGCGCCGGACAAGGACGCCATGGAGATGAAAAATATTAGACTAGAGAGGCCATAATACTTGCAAATTCCCGAACACGTCGCTTTTTATGTGAGAGATGGAGGCAAATACCACATTTGATCCTATCTCTTTTGAGTGATAGGGTCTTCATAGGTAAGGGAAGATTATCTGCTGTTATTTGTAACAAGCAACTATATTTAAGGTTGCAAGAGGTTCATCTGAAGATTAAAGTGCTAACCGTCGTCACATATGCAATATCCGTAGAGGTGCAAATGCGTTGCCACCTTTTAATTAAGTGGGACCCGGCTACCTCACTCACCAGACGAAACGCAGAACTGTGATCAATCGTAGGACTGAAAAATCGTTCATTCGTTCTACAGCGTTACTGTTTGTGTGACCCTACTACAGTTGTTGCATTTCGTCGATTTTACAACATTTTTTTATTAGGCCGTGGTGTTTTCAAGCAAGAGCAGAAGCCCTTATATGGCTTCATTTTATTTTTTAAGAAACGTGATAGAATTGTAATTTTAAAACTCAAACACGCATCGCCATATCTCATCGTTAAAGCAGAACTGGTCACACGCTATCGTATTTTATAAAAAATATAGTAGTATGAGTGACACACATTAGCATTATAGTGTTGTTCGGAAACAATTACATGTTTAAACCTGTGGAATAACACTTATATTCGTTTTAATTTAGTTTGGCTTTAGTTTTATGAGTAAAACGAACGGCATTTTTACCGGTACAAATGGTGCAGCAATTTCGGGTGTATGATTATGATTATTACAATTTCCCTTTTATTTCATTGATTAACACTAGTTTCTTCTTAGTATAATAAATCAATTCCCATATTCACGATATGTAGTACTTAATAGAAATTCAATTTAGAAAAAAATACAGAAACGGTTTTAAAGCTTGCTTGAACACCCTATATAATTATGTATTATTTTCCAACTTATTCCTTTAGTATTTAGTTGAATAATTAGATTTGCAATTTAAAACTTGTCTCATGCATACATGTTATAAGTTGTATCACGATTGGCTTTTGTTACCGTACTGTTATAGACAGAACTCTGCGTCGCAGTAGTCTGCGATTTTTTCGTTGAAGGATTTTTTTTAAATAACGTATCGCGCAAGGACGCGAATGTTTTATTTTGAACGCGGAAGAAGGTGCACGGACACTTTGTGATTTAGTAGTTTGTGATAGCATTGTTTACACTATTTTTGACAGTACGTAACATTAATTATGACATGACGGTGAATTGATCTTGGTTATGAATATATATTCTCTTTTATATTGGAAACATGTATTATATGGTGTTTATATCATTACCTCGAAAAGCCTGTGATATATGATAAATCACTATTTATCACTAGGCCCGCCGAGCCAAAAAAGCAGTGAAAATTTTGGCCAAATGAATTTTTAGCTTCATTAACAATTTCTAGCTAATAATACTTGAAAGGTAACGAAAGTCTGAGCTCAAGTATTATGTTAACACAGTAAATTATAGAACATGAATTGCTATGAAACTTTTTTAATAGATAATAAATATTTGTTGGTTTGAAAACTAAGATGTTATGTATAAAACGTTTATACTTACCAAAATGTAATGCAAACCATCCGTTGCGGCAAGTACAGCCAATAAACAAACTTTGAAATTATTGTATTAGTACGTTGTGTGAAGAATAGAAGAAGAATTATCTGTCTAGTTAGTAACACAATATGTTAACACAATATGCAAGTGGAAGACAACTATAGATATCTAGATATTTTTTTGTATTCAGCTTCACTACATAGTATTAAACAAAGTCGGCCCGCTGTTTGTCTGTCCCTATGTATACTAAGATCTTTAAACCTAAGCAATGGATCTTGATGCGGTTTTTTTTTTACTAGATAGAGTGAGTGATTCAAGAAGCTGAGGTGGATCGCTAGTTGAATATAACTCTGACTCCTTTCATGGGAGTTGGGGGTACCCCTTTAAATGTTTAAAGGGGCTACGTGTCGACACGTAGCATGTTTCGCAGTGCAAAAATGGGCTGGCTCGTCCGGGGAAGAACCACGCAGAGTAAATTATTTCTACTTTTGTTATATTGCCTGGGGAGTGAGTTAACCGGTGCCTGACCGCATATTTTGGTAACGCAACTGCATCTAATCAGGCACTGTATATGTCCACGGCTGACGTTAATCGCTTTATATTTTATATATATCGCTCTTGCCTTTACTATGCTTTTCGCAAACATGAAGTCGCCGGGCGTCAGGACGAAGTATCAACGAAACTATAACTGTACTAAGTTATAAGTCGACTACTGTCGATAAGATAAATTTAATGTTGCAAATATTGAAAAAATAAATATGAAAAATGTTATACTAAAAGCAAAAAGTACTCTACTATTTGAATCCTAATTCGTTTCCGACGTAAGTGAATCCAGTTTAGCTCGCATGTCTTCTGCAGTTTCTAGCTGTATCAATCCAGAGTACGTCCTTGCCTTCGTATTGTACCCAGATAATACGTCAATAATGCGACCGTAAAGGGAACGGCCACTTTATCATTCAGTACCATCCATGATATTTGTTGACTTTTCTGTTGTTTGTGTCCATGTCTCTTAATATTACCTATATGTGCATGTAAATATTTCAATGAAAAATTAGTCTTCGCCCTCTTGAAGATTAACAAAGATCACATAAGTTACTGTTAGTAATGTTGAGAAGCAATGATGCCTGATAAACAATTTCTAGTTGTATAATTGACTAAAAAATTCACACGGGTCTAGTTAAGGATTTAATCATGTTGTAGATATAAAGAGGTACGATACGAAGTAGATGTAGATATAAAGAGGTACGTACGATACGAAGATATGAAGCCACGGCGCTTGATAATTGGAAAGCGGATTCATTGCTGATAATTCGTTATTAATTAAGTAAATGATTTTTTTATCTCTGATGGCGCTATATGATT